GTGGGCGTCGGTCTGGCCGAATTTCACCCTCACGGAGGCGGTCCCCGCGGCCAGCACGCTCTTCCGCTGGGACTTCTGGCAGGACTCGCTGATGACCATCTCCACCCGGACCAGGGCGCCCTGCCCCTCGGATTCCGCCACGAGGACGGGCCACTGGGAGGCGGGGTCTTGGCGGACGGAGACCACCTGCTGGTCCGCGGAGGTGGCCGACAGGGAGAAGTCTCCCCCCGCGTAGATGTCCAGGGGCGTGACGGCGCCGTCGCTGAACTGCACCCAGCAGCTGAGGGCCGCCTCCTGCGGGGGAACGTGAGTCCGTCAGCGCGGGCGCCAGGCTCAGCGAGCACCCGTCACGGACACGGCGGACAGACTGCATGACCGCAAAGGAAACGCGGTGAGCCGTGTGCGCCGTGTGGAAACAGGAGGTGCGCAGAGCTCAGAGCAGGAAAGAAAACTCACTCCCACACGAGGTGAAGCGGAGGAAAACCACCCAATGACGGCCCAGGGCCGGGGGGACACCCCACAACACCAGGCCACCACCTGCGTGCGCAGCAGGTTCACCCAAATCCCACGTTCCTCCCAAGAGGCAATGCGTCTCATCTCTGAGGAGCGAGGGGTCTCCCGTGTGCAAATCCTGTTAACAGTGTGCCCTCACCTGGGTGTGACCTCACCTGGGTGTGCCCTCACCTGGGTGTGACCTGCCCGATGCGACCCCACCCTGTGGTGTCCCGGCCTCTGTACCTGGCCGGGCCTCTGCAGAAGCTCCTGAGCCAGGGCTGTGGCGAAGATGGCCCTGTTGCTCCCTGGGCTGAGCTGCAGGGAGAGCGACAGGCCTGCCACCACCTGCACCCCCAGGTCCGTGACGGTGACCTTCTCGTCCAGCACCGTGATGGTCTTCTCAGCCAGGATGGCGTCCGACAGGGGCGACAGGATCTGGAAACAGAACCGCATGACAAGCGGAAACGGCGCTGTCTGTGTCTTCTTCCCAAAGCTGTGTCCTGCCTGACAAGTTCCTGTCTTTTTAAATAACAGCAAGATGGGAAGGGCTGGACAGGGCGGAGCGCGGCCCCTGCCCCACCATGGAGATGACCTGGGTGGCATTAAAGAGGTGCGGGGCGCCCAGCCGGCGTCACTCAGGGGTTGAGCATCGTCCCGGGCACCAGGAGGTCACAGTTCCATTCCATTCGGCACATGCCCTGTTGCAGGCTCAGTCCCCAATAGGGGCCGTGCAGAAGGCACAGAAGGCAGGATGTTCTCCCTCATTGACGTCTCTCTCTCCTCTCTCTCTCTCTCTCCCTCCTCTCTCTCTAAAAACCAATACAACATATTTAAAATATAAAGAAAAGAGGAGCGTCCTTGCCCCTGGGGACATCTTACCTGGAGGGTGGTCATCCCGAGCTCCTGGCCCACCAGGACCTGCCCCCCCTGCAGCCGGGCGATCCGAGGCTCCTCCACCTGCATGAACTCCTTCACCAGCTCCGTGATGTCCACCTGCCAGTCGGAGCCCAGCAGGTGGGCCAGGGGGCCCCCAGGGTCCGCTGATTCGGCCACAAACTGAGTCAGGACGCGCACCATGGCGTGCTGGTACTGGAGGGCGCAGCCCCGACCCCGCCTCTCCTCATCTTCCTCTTCCTCGCTGTCCCGAGCTGGCCTGGCAAAGGGTCAGTTCAGTTTAGCAGGTCCTGACTCCTTGGGCCAATGGTCAGGGGCTGTGCGGAGGGCGGGGCTGTGTGTGTGGGGCGGGGCT